AATGATACTCCCCGGTTACCCAGGTCGAAGAAGGGAGTTTACTTGAGGCACCCAACCTTGAGCCTTTGACTCAAAAGTCTGACCCACAAAGTAGTGGGAGGGTGTAGCGTTTTGTTCGGGTACCCTGACACTAGCCTGTGACTTGAAAGTCTGGACCACGCGACAGCGATTGTTAGGGATTTCCCGGGGGACCCTTACCGGAACCAATGACTCAATAGTCTGACCCGCTTGGTTGTAGGGGGCCGGCCTGGCCTGAGTGCGCAGGTAGTAGGGCATTACTGTCTCACACCTGATGCGGCTGGAGCACAACTCCCACACCGCAGATACCACGGGCCATCATCCGATACATGAAGAGTGGAATGTGGAACATCAGGGAACGTCCTAATCGGCTTGGGCAACACGATCAAAGTGGGGTCTTTATGTGGGTTTCGGAGGCACAACATACGTCGATAGAGAGGGAAAGCAAGGTTTCAGCAAGGGATGCCTATTTCCGAATTTGACATGGAGTATTGAGGTTGAAAGCTGCAACGTGGATCAGATCTTTAGAGGCTGGTAAGTGATTGTTTTGGTTTATTTTTCTGGGTGATGGTTGAGACACGGAGCAGTGGTTAGGGGATTGGCAGATGGGTTGGTTGCACTGCATTGTATGTTGTACGATGCGTGGGGAGGGAGTGTGGGAAAAAGCGAAGGTGAGAAGGTGAGCGAAGAGCCGCAAGGGCAAATGATACTCCCCGGTTACCCAGGTCGAAGAAGGGAGTTTACTTGAGGCACCCAACCTTGAGCCTTTGACTCAAAAGTCTGACCCACAAAGTAGTGGGAGGGTGTAGCGTTTTGTTCGGGTACCCTGACACTAGCCTGTGACTTGAAAGTCTGGACCACGCGACAGCGATTGTTAGGGATTTCCCGGGGGACCCTTACCGGAACCAATGACTCAATAGTCTGACCCGCTTGGTTGTAGGGGGCCGGCCTGGCCTGAGTGCGCAGGTAGTAGGGCATTACTGTCTCACACCTGATGCGGCTGTGCGCAGCAGGTACCTTTTGAGTAGCACGGGGCTCTTTGGTTTTAAAAGTATACCGACCGTGATGAATAATGCGCCGGCGGTCACGGTCAACTCCTAGGCGAACGGAGTATGCGGTTTCAGAGCCGAACTTTTCTCCTTCCTCGAAGGAAGGCATCATCGCTGCTTCCATAAATATGGACATGCTGGTCGAGATGGACCAAGTGCTTAGAGCGCGAATTTACTGACCGGAAGCTCCGTGGTTCGAACCCGACCTCTGCCTCTCCACTTTCCCTGTCTAGGCTTGGGCGACCTGGCAGTATCCCATCTCTCGCGCCTCCTTCGTGTGGCATGGCAGCCAGGCACCGAAATGGTGCTACGGCTGAAAGATTTTTTTACTTACATGCTGTTCGCCTGGGGAAAACACCTTACTGCCTTCACACTCCTATCGCAGAGGGCAGTACGACTTTAGCCCTAGACTGCCTCGTAATACGATTACTCGCAGTACGGGGACTCGCTGTTCCTCGTCAGGCTGCTCCCCGTTGGCTTCCCTGGCATGGTTGAACCTTTAGGAACTGAGTTCCAGTCAGTGCAGTGTCATTGCAATACTACGATAAGGTGTAAGCTTTGGGTCGGTCCTGACATTGTTGAACCTTTAGCAGGATCATTACAGAACTGAAATCCAAATACAGTTAAAATGTGATACGCCAGACCAGTTGCCGGCAGGCATCAAGATATCGCGTGTGGTTACCACTACGTGTAGCCGATCGTAGAAATCGTCTGCAAGTTAAGATGAAGAAGCGTGGGTGTCCATGACGGTCATTGTAGAACCCGTTAAAAAGAACTCTCGTAATCTTGGTTGGACCTGGGTCCCAGGACAGTACAACGTCGTAGGCGCATTTGTTAGGGGGGAAGAGACAGCGTACCCGAGTTAAAACGTGGATGGGCATGACAGTCAGAAAAAGAATTCCATCCCAAAGATTTGATGCACTGGGGCGAGATGGCCCAAGTGGTTAGAGCGTGAATTTACTAACCGGCAGGTCCGTGGTTCGAACCCGATCTCTGCCACTCGATTTCTCCGGTCTAGGCTTAGGCAACCTGGCAGTACCCCAGCCCTCGTGCAACCTTCCTTCGGCATGGCGCAGTTAGGCAACGAAAAGGTTCTACAGCTGAACGATTTTTTTAAACCGAAATCAGGAAGCCGCTTCTGAAGGACAAGCAATGCCAAAGAAACTCCACATGGTGAGACTGACTCCCGAAGAATGCGGACATATGGGGAGAAATGAAGGAGACGCAGCTTTCGTATCTGTTGCCGCGAGGGCTGTGCCAGTAACGAAATTCACTTAGCAGGGATGTCGTAGCCTAAACGGAAGTGTACATTTCGCAAATAGTCACGCAGTAACATAAAAGGTTGTGAACCAACAACGTCCTCAGCGCCTCACAGCTTTTTCTCCCGCGTCCGGCTTTTAATCCTGCATAGCCAAGCTCAAATTTCATAGCGGCAAGGAAAGTCATAAGAGCAAATTCGCCTGAAGGACCGCTGAACGTTGGTTTGCTCTCGTTCGTCAACTGACGTTTGTTCGAGTTTCCTCTTCTAGTATTAGTAAATACAAATACGAATCACAGGACTACGGGACTTCATGATTACCAGCGACTATTACGCAGCTCTCAAACCAATTCGGAACTGTTATGTGTTACCCAACAGCCTATGTTCTCTTCGTGGCATACGGACACTCCGTAGGCGCTCGTCAGGTCGCTAAACCAAGCTAGGCCAGACTCGGGTCTTAGAAGACCTTGCTTTTAGAAAAGGGCCACGAAGCCCTGGTGGCACCACCGCCAGCAGAAGCCAGAATGGTTAATGCCATTGCGCAACGATAAATCTACTTTTCGACTGGTGGGTCTAAGGCTATTGTCCAGGATAGCGTCTAGTTGATAGTACAAAGCGTTTCATTCCCTTTTCTACCACCCTTCCGGGAAATGGGCTTCCGGAGTCACTGGTGACCCTATCCACCGCTTTTCGGTAAAATTGAGACCGCTCGTGATTAGTAGCCGACTGCCCAGAGCCTCCCAGTATGAAGGAGATTACAAAACGTTTGGCTGATGTCAGTGCTATTTGCCTTCCAGGATGGGGATCGCGTTATCCCCACCGCGTCTGGTTGGAGACACTGCAAGATATGTCAGTGATTCATCTTTGGAAACAGATGAACTATGGCACTCTCTGCAGAATATATCAAAACCAGGGTCCTACAGGCAGGATACTGATGTTCTATGCCCCTAAGGGTTAATATACAAGGGTTAATATACCCAGTACAAACCATCAGACAGAGACTGGATAACACCAAGTGACAGGAACCCTTATCATGTGTCTATCCCGACCACCACATCTACAGCCAGTTATTTTGTAAGCAACTATAATCAAATAAGAACAAAAGACTCCCCAGAACAAATTCAGAATATAATGTTGTCTGTATAGAGTACCTATGCAATGAAGTGGAAAGGTAGGGAGCATTTGGGGGTCATATGGCCTTTACTAGCTTTGTCACATCTCATATCGAAGTTAGCGGGATAGGAAATGCAACCGAAAGACTACCTTCATATTTCACAGCCTTCAACATTCTTGCTCCTTCATCTGCTAAAGACACGCCAGAGAAAGCAACGCTTGAACTACCACACTTCGAATTCCTCTCATCGTGAATGAGAATCTGATAGTCGTGAACCCCAAGGCCTCGTACATCGACAGTGAATTGTTTCCGAAGGGATTCCTCTTTTACCGAATTCAAAGTATAAATGCACTAGTGCGTAAATAGGCCATCGGATAGGCTACCTGCCTGCAGCCTTCGGCGAAGGGTGAGTGGGAAGGTCCAAAAAGGTCATTTTGAGGAGTAAACTCAACAAATGGCATGACAACCAGTTGTGGCTCGATTCCCAAGCCGAAAATGTCCCTGGAGTTGTGCTATCCGTTTCGTAGTAAACTGTCTTATCGATCATCTGCAACGTAAAGCGACTCTAAATATCTGAGGTAAACCAGCACCGAGCCCGTGTCCATCCACTTTCCTATTTTCCACGTTATGTCTGCGCTGAAGCCTCAGCATCAACACTGATAATGATAATGACAACCGTAGCAACGGTAGTGTGATGGTCTGAGCTCTCCAAATTACAAAACCGGTGGAAGCACCACTACCAAGATCTATAACACCACAGATTAGAAAAAACAGTGTACGCTAGGGCTAGAAAGAGGACAGCACCCCAGTCGCTGGCCAATTTTGCCCACCCTTGACAGAAAGGCACACAGAAAACTAACTTATTATGGGGTCAGCAGATCCCAAAAGAGACCCAGATATATCACAACACCCAAAAACAGTTGACTATCCCATAAGAGTTGACAGAGCTATCTAAGGATTGCAAGGAGCTGGGTAGTGACATGCAGAATAGTGAGCGAAATGGGCATTAAATAACTCTGCAGAGATAATTTGATCACACAGTTGATTTAAATACGCTTGAGCTACCTAGTACGCGTCCAGAGCCACATACCATCTTCTTCAATAACAGTATGGTACCGAAAACTATCAGAAAACTGCTCCTCGAAACAGCTGGACGGGTGCCCTGGGTTCAAGGTTAAACTGTATGAGCCTCCGAGATTTGTTCAACAATTACACGCCAACCCAAGTAATCACGTCTTCCAAATAACACCCACAGAGTGCAACCTAGTGAAATTTCCCAGATTCGCAAAAGAAACCTTTGGTTTAGCAAAAAGAGCTCTCAGGATAAGAGAGAAAACTCGGAGGCTCATACAGTGGAGCAGAACAACACCGACGCTTATTGACGTCCAATCTGATTCGTTGGTTCAAAAATATGGATTAGTGTGCGACATCTCAATTTTGTGCAATAACTAACTCATAAAAATAGGAATGGGATAGTTAAAACATGGTGATTGCATTACTGGCCATCTCTTGACCATCCGCCATATTGGATCTGGAGTACATTCACAGCTCGAAGACTTACCTCCGACTCTGTACATATTATTGGAAGCCATGGGGACTCCGCTTCACACACCGAATGTGTGTATGCGTACTGGATTTCCCGGTATTGCGAGGGCTCCACTGAATTTTGTCAAGGGAACCGGGTCCCGAACGAGGTGCAGTCCAGCTACGAGGCGACCCGTCGATCCCTATTCCGCGTCTGTGTGAGAGTTGCGCGTACGCGCGCGCTTGTGCGTGTGTGTGTCTGGTGCGTCCGTGCTAGTGCGTCTGTCATTCAGTGTGTGTGAGCTTGCTGTAGGGGACGGTGTGTCAGCTTGCGGAATTGGTGCGCATCGGGTCAGTGCCCGTGGCCGACTGGAACGTCGGCTGATCACTCACGGAGGCAGTGCCGCCGAAACCTTCAGCTGAAGATCCAGAAACTTTAACCTCCATAGAGAATGCATAGTTTCAGTAGTTTATGGACGTTCATTGTTGCGTGTATTTGCACTTCAGAAGCACGCCCTAAGATATGATCTAACGGTGGTTCTGATGCGATAGGGCAAGTGGGGTATCATTTTGAAGCGCTCTTTCCTGTCGTTCTGTTTCTGTGATCCAATGACCATTTTGGATAACTGTCGATGAATTACGTCTTTTCGAATGTAGCGATGCACAGAAGACGAGAAGCTAGCTCGTTACAGTGAGACTACACAGAACTATCGGATCAACTACCGATAGACGAATCTTGACGCGAAATATGACCATTCTTTTGTGTGAAAAGCACATTACGCGTTTGCCTAACAATGAGTTAGAAGAGTCATTCAAGAGCCACACACCGTTTGATTCCTTTAACAACGACTAGTGCACCTAATCTCTACCTGAGGTTTAATATCGTTATTGAAAAAAAAACTGCTTGAAGGATATCTGTCCACCCTTGGGTTCTTCATCACAAAGAGTTTGGAGTGAAATCGAGCAGTCAGGGTTTACGGAGTAGGGAAAGGATTTCTTCATGTCATATATTTGTTAATCCTCGTATTGCGCCTTGCTACTTGTGCTCCGTATGACTTGCAAATAATCAAGTCTCCCTTCACTGCTGTAACCACCCACAGAAGAGGCGATTTCTATTTGATCTTTTTGAACTTCTTTTGAATGTCGGTACCCCGAAAAACGGCCTCTTTTCTCAGACAGGCATTACATCTGTAGCCTTTTTCGGTCAAAACTCGTCCCGAGAGAAGCCAGCTTCGCTTCTCTAAAGCTGAACCACGCATCCATTCCTTGCCGCAGCCATTGACTGTTCATTTATCTGATTGCTTCTTATCTGGCTCGTTAAGTCCCCTCAAGGATGCACGAAATGTAGGTTGTCGATAGCACATTTGAGCAACCGATGGACAAGTAACATTGTCGGACGTCATATTTTTCTGCTGGGTTAGAGTTTTGACCCTCTTCGTGGTCGCACCGTTTGCGTTTACATCTTCGAGATTGACTTCTCCGTTCTTCCTGAAGCCTCAGTTTCCGCAACCCAATTAACTTTCGTTGACCGCCTCTAGAATAGTTCATGCGCGAAACGACAAGACCGGTCACTCATTGGTCTCGCATGACATACCCACTTTTTGTCGGACGCAAACGACGTTCGATCTCATATCTGAGTGACTCTGACCTTCTAATCCCTGGAGATTTCAACTGCCCAGCGAACAATCACCATGTCCTGTAGTCTGAAGTATCGGTTTCAATCAAAAGCTGTCTTCAAAACTCACTGTTCTGGTGTGAGTGCCAGCTAGCAACCCTGGACCTCATGTTCACCAACACATTTGATGTTAAAAATTATCTAGACGAGCGCAACCATGATGTGCTCTACTGGGATCTTTTCTGCTCCCGTCAACCTCTGTCAGCGTCGAGGATGAAATATCATTGCAGACCTCGGAAAAGTACACTGTTATTATCCCAGTTTTATCCCCACTCAAAAGTTTGAAAATGTGCACCTACGTATAGGCAGAGTATCGAACCGAAAATGGACCGCCTAAGTTTCCTAATCTCAATGATGAAACCATTGGCTTGGCCCTCGCACACGTCAGGCACCTGGAGAAGCCTGTTCCCCTCCAACGTATGCACAGCCACTTCCACTCCTGACACTAGTTCCTCAGTCTTGACGAACGATTTCCATACGTCAAGGAGCATAGATTGGAGTTCAGTGCCCAACGAGACACTTACGTCTGTGGAAAAAGAAATCTTAATCTATTAATGTGCTACTCATACGGTTGCTGAAAACCCCTCGACAGCCCACGACCGGTTTCGCCCTTCCACTTTGGGCTCATCAGGTAGGTGCAGCCCCAGAGTTTCCGTCATCCTCACGTTCTACTTGAAACCAAATTGCACGAAATTAGCGAAATACACCCTTTGGCAAACTAATTTGGTTCTTCGAGAGACCCACCTGGAACCCAGCTGAATCTCCCGTTTGTGATGCATCATGCTGCCTCATGTTTCAGTCGCCACGATATTCGAGATACCGCGATACATGTATATTTTGTAATGTACCCAACGTATGAACGGTAGACCAAGCTCGAGTCCCATCAGGATCGATTTCAGCCATCGTGAGCCAATGGAAAACGTCGAAAGCGATCTTATACATCTTGTCTGTCACTGGGCTGTTGAAGGTGGGACCAGAAAGGTGGAATTCTTGAGTAAGCTAGCATAAAACTGTCACAAAAAAGGTTAAACGACACATTCTGCGAACAGTTTCTATCATGCTTCATCGTTGCCATTGTACCGGTTCTCTGTGTCTGGGGCGGAAGGTTTTCGGCCACCACATATTATGGCATAGAAACCATGTTCGAATCTTGAATAATGAAACTGAGCGCGAAATCGACAGACGCTGGAAGCTCAATGGGTTGAGAAAGCTTTTTTGAGTAGTATGGTCTATAAATCAACTTTGGAAATTAGGCGCTTCGTGGAAAACCCGAGGTTTCCTTTCAAACGGTCTACCAGGCCGGTTTTTCACTGATAGTAGCGTAGATTGTACGGAGCAAATGAACTTGGTTATATCAAGGCAGGACGGACGATCAGGCTAACACTTGGCTGGATGTCTCCGTTTGCACGCTAGTTCCTACTCGGATAAACCGAATAAAAACTGGTCGTGCTGGGAGGTGATCATAACACGAGTGAATGAAGAGTGTGACGCTTTCTAGCACTCTAAGCAACCGCTGGTTCACATTTCAGAAGGGGACGTTAGATGGGAGAGCGATAAATAGAATGCAGACTGAACTGCGGACGAATGGAAGCCCATGGAACTACACAAAAGAATCGTAAGGCTGATGCTTAAGCATTCCTGTACAAGCAGTTGGGGTGGTTCACGAGAAAGTATTCTTGCTCACTCTGGCTGCTTTCGCGAGCCACTCATGAGACTCTTTTGGGGAACGTATGAGACTGTGGTGAACCGAAATCGGTGTTTTCTGTCCTCAAATTGTTCACCGGAGGTAAGGATGTTTCAAGTTCATTTGACGTCTACTTTACGTGTTTGTGTTGGTATACACACGCAGATGCGCCGACGAGCCTCAACACCGGCTGTAGTCGGTTGTCAGTTCCTTCTGCTCTAACCAGATTCACTGGGAATCTCTCAACAAAACGTCTCAGCTCATTATTGTTCACAGCAATCCTCAGAATAGTGCACGAAATCCGCTGGTGACTGTCTGTTTGTTCTCATGGCATTCGTTGGACTTGAACGGCTTAGAAACCACTCACTCAAAGAGATCATCGACGTGAAACGCCTTATTAAAAGCCTTCTTCAGGGGGAAAACACACAGAAGCGACTAGGAGGAACCTGAGTTCCCAGCTGTTTGGTCCGCTTCTCTCTGACCTCAAGGAATCTCTTCATAGAGCCAAATTAATGAAAACCTCATCCGTTCCCATCGCATGAATGACCAGACAATTTCGCTCTGGATGCGCCTACAGTCTTTTTGGAACTTTTAACAACTCGAATATTGATTAAACGTAACGCAGCTGGGATGAGGTAGCACACGGGATATTTAGAAATGATGGTAGTACGAATGAAAAGACAGATATGAACCGCTCACTTCTCGGTGACCGAACTGGTGCCCTACCGAGTGAGCTACCGAGGATGCTCGTCACATCCTCGTCCCAGGATGTCTGTTCCTTCATACTATATGTGGCCGTGAACTTGTAAGTTCACAACCTACCAATGTCTCCTCTACTTCCACACTCTGCACTTCCCAAGAACCATCGATCTCGCTCGTTGTTACATGTCGGCCGTGATAAGTCATCTTGTTTGGTGTTCCATACTTGAGCACCAAGTGCTATTGATTCAGTTGCCGGAAGTTCGTTCACCGCGTTCAGCCAGAATTTGCGAATCACGGGTTTGCACGAGTGTTGAGCATATGGAACACCAATCTCTGTTTGAATGGAAAATTTTTCCCCGACTTTACGAAAGCCTCTCGACTACCGCAGCGCGCAATGCCTACTATAAGACTCTCACTGGACATTGGGGCGAGATTGCCCAAGTGGTTAGGGCGCGAATTTACTGATTGAAAGGTCCGTGCTTCGAACCCGACCTCTGCCTCTCTGTCTAGGCTTGGACAACCTGGCAGTATCCGAGCCCTCGTGTCTCCTTCGTGTGGCACGGCAGCTAGGCACCGAAAGGGTGCTACAACTGAAAAATTGATTGTTATTGTCAATGGACGCCTTCCGGTGAAGGAGACCGGTTGAATATTCCTCCACAATGAAGCGGTGCTCTGTCTCAAGAAGGATGCAGCGTAGACATTAGGATGATCGTTGGTTTGTTCGTTGAGCTGAGAAACCATCTAGCCATCGCTAAGCTCCACTACGCTTCCTAAAAACACACTGATGATGTCATCTCTATTGGTGATGAAACGTTTGCAATCACATTACCCAGCTCAGCAAACAGGCCAACGACCATTCACGCTACCTGAGCTACCAACATTTTCCGCTATAGAAAGGACTCCCTGTTTTTTTTTAGGAAAAAGGGATTCAACGATGACTTCGTCACTCAATTCGAAGAATTCAGAATAGGAAAGTAAATCATCGATTTAATTCCATCTCTGTAATGTACTACTCATAAGGTTGCTGAAAATCTGTCGACGGATTTTCAGCAACCTTACAATTATCTAGGATTTAGTCACCATGTTTTCTGTAAACTTAGTTTTCTTCCATGGTATGTCTTGTTTAATAGAGCAAGCA